ATCTCATCACTCTAATATGATGAGCACCCAAGTTAAAAGCCTGTATCACTCACACACACAAGGGGGAGGGAGAGAGGAAGTGAGAACTGAGGGAAGGGTAGATGGGATGGTAGGTTAGGCTATCTTACAAGGCTGTGCATAGACTTTTTTTCTCTCTTCTAATTATGAGTACTAAACCCAATTTGACGAAGACTGAGTTTTGTATTTTTATATTTACAAAAATTGGATCTTGGTCCAAATATAAACCAACTCTCAAATTTATAATATTTAAAAAAATATTTTTAAAAGTGTAGTGCGTGGGTAAATTAATTTTTTTGGGCAATATTGAGATCAAATTGCCCCATTATTGTTTCATTCAACTTACGCTTCCAAAGCAAATTTAGCCTCCCTTAGATGCACTACTAAAAAATCCTCTAGATAGTAATTATTTTTGTCAATGTATAATAATTTTTAACCACTATATATTTATGTGCTATATAGTCCAAGGGCAACTATATAGTGATTTTTTTTTTGATAAACTATATAGCAATTTTTAACTATTATATAGTTCAAGTCTATATAATGGTTATTTACCAAAAACTGTTGAATAGGATTTTTCAATTTTGATTGCAATAAACCATTCAGTAAACTATAAAACAATTTTTCTAAAATAACCAAGCGCTGAATAGTTGCACAATATTTAATTATTATTTCAAAAACACCGTTAAACAGTTTTGCCTTGTTTTGGTTAAGTTTCAACAGGTTGCCCAGAAACTATTTAACAGTTTTTTTCTCTCAAAATAACTGCTAAGTAGTTATGTCTAGATAGCGGTTATTAGGAATAACTGTTAAAAATATAGAACTATATAGCGATTATTTGAAATAACAGTTACATAGTTCAGTCATTATTAAAAAGATAGGGGGCTGCTTGCAAGACAAAGTACACATATCCCATAAATGCACCCGTAACAGAATATTTCAATTTCAACCAAAATTTATGTGCAATTGAATTCAAAATTACTCAAACCTATAATAACTTTTAAAATATATTTAAAGGTATTTTAAAATTCTCACAAAAATGCATATACACTAAAGTAATTACAAGAAAAAATTTACCAAGTAAAACCTATTGTAAGTTTAAAAACTAAAGTTAACCAAAAACTAAAATTGACCAAAGTAAGCTTGTTTTGCCTAAGTATAAATAACCTACATTACTACGAACAAAATTAAGCAAGCTAAATAATTATGGTCATCTATTTTATATCCATTACTTGAATAAACTCTCGGCCAACCCTTGGAGGACTTCTTCAATCTGTACTAGACTATATTCCTCTACAAATGCATCATGAAAGTACTATTAAGCCACAAACATAATATAAATTAAGTTTAAATATGTGATATGCATAATTCCATCAACAGGCACATGTCTGATTATATCTTTCATGTACCTCATGATATTATAGCCACAATCAACAACGTTGTGACATTGTTTTGGACTCTTTTGATCATCAAACAAAAATAAAATAAAGTTAGTTATAATAAAGTGGGTTTTTAAAAAAGAGAGACTACAAAACGATTTTTCATTTTAACTGCTATATAGACCTAGAGATTGTACAGTAGTTATTTATTTAAATAATCATTATATAAAAGATGTTATATATAAGCTGTTTTTTTTAGTAGTGACATCTTCTATCTCTTGCAATTTTCAACTTTTGCCTCGTTAAAAGAATACTAAATTAGAGTTTCCAAAAAAAATAAATTGTCTAATCGTTAATACTATTTAAGTTGAATTTTTATTGGGATTGTGCTGACGTGCATAAGATTTTTTTCTCTTTATTGAATTTTTGTTGGGTTGTTTAAGTGGATCTAATATTTTTTATTTAAATATTCATTTTTTTCATACTCAAATATAAAATATATATATATATATATAATTAAATTAAATTATTTAATTAAGACTGATCTGACTCTTGGTTGACCCTCAGCTCAGCTGAACCACTAATCATTAACTCACTATCTTAACTAATTTAATGTCCTGTTGATTTTTAATACCTTAGAAAGAAATAGAAAATACATGAAAAAATAATATTTACTTCACACATGCTTGCAATTACATCATTCGCTGACTCTTTCGCGTCCCTCACCCATATATTCACCACTATATAAACAACCCTTGGCTTTCCATTCCTCTCATCTCTTCCAAGCTTCACTAGCTATACATCTATTGCTAAGGTTTTCTTATTACCTTTATGATAACCCTAAATTTTAAAATTTAATAAAAATTTTTTAATAGATATTTTATTTAAAAAAGTTTTAATACTAAATATAGGAGAATTTACTTTCTTGTAATTTTATTGGGTCTTTTCTTGTAATTCTCTCGTGCTCTTTCTTGTGATTTTCCCGAAACTCCTTTTTGTTCAGTTTTTCTCCACGCAAAACGCAAAAACAGAGCACTCTCTTTTCTATTCTTCACCGCCATTATACACTCTTCTGGATCCTCATAAACGGTTCATTCCCCTGACTCTTATCAACTTTCTAAGCTGTTGACCGAGTATAGTTTCACTGCCGTTGCTTCGTCTCTGATGCCCTTTCTCGTTCACGTTGCTAGCCATATTAGTGGGGTTGCTGCGTTTCTTTCCCTATCATCATGCTGATCTGACCCAAGAGACGGTGAGAAATACTGTGCTTGTTTCTTGCCATCGGTCTGTCATGCTTACTGTCACTTTCTCCCTCGTCTCTGTCCGTGTTCGTCCGCCACAGTAGAGAGAGGAAGTTGTTATCTCTGTTCTTTCTTCTGTCACGAGGCTGTAGGCGTTGGGTTGACGTTTTTTAATTCTTTTCCTTATGCAGTTCATAAGGTGTGTGACAGTTATTAACGAGCGTTTCGGTCACTGTGAGAGCGTGGAGTTGCTAGAAATTCCTTGGCTTGTTATTTCTTGCTGCTGTTCTGTGCCAGGTTGACAGTCGTGAGAGTGCTCATGTTCAACCTGTAAATTCTCTTCCTCTTCAACTGTTGGTGGTGCATGAGTGTATATGAAAACTGGTTTATTTTCTTTGGTTGGCCGATTTTTTTCTGTTTGGCTTGTCGGTGCTGTTAGGTTTTGGAAGGAAGATGTTTGATTATGGTTATGGTTTCGTGATTTTGCCAATGAAGAATACCCTCAACATGTTTGTATAAAAGCTTGAATGGGAAATTTAGGTGTTGTGTGGATAATATGTGTGCTATTTTACTAATACTGAGTTAAGAATTAATGAAGAAATTAAATGCTAAAAATTGTTAGACTTTGCTTGGGTGTTTGCCTCATAGTTTAAATTGATGAATATTCTCTTAGAGCTGGAAAATATTCTTAAAAAATTTATTTATAGACATAAGATTGTTAAATTTTATAATAGAGTTTGGAAGAACTATAAATATTATTTGAGGGAGTAATGTTTTTACATGCAAGTAGTAAGCTTAAATTACTCATTGAAATAGAGTAGCACCTAAAGGGAAATTGTAGTGACGTAAAATATATTGGTTTACATGTTAGATTAATCTAGGGCATTATTGAAGTAAGCAAGAAATTGAGAAAGTTTGACTATAAAATTTTTTAAAAACTTATGTGAGTAAGCAGCATTTTGAATGAATTTCAAGCAATTGTTTATAAAATTTTTTTACCTAAATTTTAATATTATTGCTTCATTAGTTATGTAAATATTTTTGTCAATTCTATTTTTTAATAATTATTTTTTAATGATGATATCTTGATTTTACTAATGATGTATGCTATTGATAAGTAATAATTAAAGTTGATATACGCAAACAATGCTACTTTTCAAAAACAACTCAATTGTTTAACTTTATGTTTGATCTGCAAACTTTTAGTATAGTAACTCGTACATGGAGGAAATGATAATGAATATGGGAATGGAGGATGACAACCGACTCATATATTTTGAAAGTGAAAATTTTGAAATTGTTTTTCAACTTTCTATGCACGCTTGATTTTAATTAAAGGGACTGAGTTAGAACGCTGGTTGTTAACAGCAGTTCTGTTAGCCATTGATATTCCATAGTTCACTTAGCTGGTAAGGTGCTTATAGGAGGTGCTAATCTTGTGTGAAGGTCAACACACGTGGATTAAAAGATGATATTTGTGAACACTGAATTCACGTTTATTTTCATGGGCTTCATGCCTGTGCTTGATTCGTGGCTTTTTTCGCACTTGTTTCGTGGCTTCTAGCTGTGCTTGATTGGTTATTTACCCTCGTGAACTGTGTGTCCATGCTTGTTATTCGTTTTGATAAAGCCCTCCTAGATTTAAATTAAAATTTATTATTTTTATATTAGTTCTTTAAAAGGATTCTATCTATTTGTACTAATACTTGAAATGATAACGTTCTATGAGTTGTACAAATTTTGACAAATTACACTATTTTATTAGTATTGTTCAATTTCAGAATTGTATCATTGAAGAAGAATTGTTCTTTATTTAGCTCAAGTATATGCTTTAGTATTTAATGATATTATTTTAGAATAAATATGTTAGTTCTATCTGTAAAAGTTTTATGTATAATTTAAACTGGAATGCTACTCACAAAAATTTTTTTGATCTCAAATACTGTAGTTGACCTTGTGCCTCCAACAGATCGTTGAGGGCATTTTGATTGCTTTTTGAAAAAGAGAAAGCATATTGCAACTATTGTTTTGGTAAAATTAAGTGTTGTATCTTGTGATTATAACTTAGTGCTCCACGTACACTGTAATTAGATCCTAATTTTATTTATTATTGTGAAAAATTGTTGGAATGAAGCTGGTCTCTTTGCTAGTCTGATTGGCAGGTTTTATAGTTGTTGTGGAAATTTCAGAAGGTTTAAATTATTGGGAAGACTTTGCTGAAATTTTTACAAAAACTTTATAAACGTTAAGAACTTTACTAATATATATAAATTGCATATATTTCTAATTAGCTTAATTTATAGATAATCAAGACTTATGGAATGTGAGTCCACATCATATTCCACACCAATCATATCCTTAATATTGGGGTGTGACAACCTTGTCAATTGCCTCCAAACCTTGTTCCCCCATTGCTCTTTTCCTGCTTCTTAGACTTCTCTTCTTTTCCACAGTCTCTGGTCATGGCAGTTTAAAGCCAATGCCCAGCTCAAGACCTGTTCCCAATCCAATGCCCAGCCCTAGACCTATCCGTAGCCTCTCACCTGGAACTGGAACTGGCATCGAAATTGGTACGGATGGACACCACAAATTTTTTGCAATTTGTTTACTACATACGTGTTTTATGTGCATCATATATCCCCCTCTCATGGATACTAAATAATATTACTTTCTTATGTCATTCATTTTTGTTATCTTTTATATTCATAATTTCATGCCTCACATAAAAAATATTGCACATTTTATATTTCATTATTTTATTTGTAGCTATTTATTTTCTTCTTATTGAAACTGACTTTCCCCTCCTATTTCTATTTTTTTTTCTCATTTCTTCCTGCTTCAGTTCAAAAAACCAAAACCCTAAATATCAGCAAGAATAAAGTAGCAAAATTGCATAGGAGATAGATTTTTAAATGATTGTTTGGTTCCTCACATAAAGAAATAAAATTTTGATTAGTATTGAAAATTTTAAAAAAAATTATTTAATATTACCAAAATATGAAACTTTACAGAAAAGCTTGTTGAAAATATGATGCATGTTTTATATTACAAGTGTGTCTTCACACGTGTAAATATATGATGCCCCTACCCGCGGTTCAAAATTCTAGGTCCACCACCGGCAACCGAAAATGGAACAGGCACGTGTCCCAGGGACGCACTAAAACTGGGAGCATGCGCAAATGTGTTGAACGGTTTAGTGAACGCGACAATCGGTCAGCCACCGGTGACTCCATGCTGCTCTCTCATTGAAGGACTTGTCGACCTTGAGGCCGCCGTGTGCCTTTGCACCGCCATACGAGCTAGCGTTCCGGGCATCAACCTCAACGTTCCAATCGCTCTCAGCTTGCTTCTCGACGTTTGCTCTAGGCAAGTCCCTCCTGGCTTCCAATGTGCTTATGAATAATAATAATAATAATAATAATACTTATGAATAATAATATGAAGGCTCGAGGCTCTTCTTTGGAGGAACTAGCATTCTTCTCTTTTATCACTGCGATGGCATTTTAACATGTTGTGATTTCGAGTTCATTTTCTTCTTCGGTGGCCTACGTGGGCCTTGGTTTTGCAGCTGAATATTTCATGTTATGATCAAACTTGTCTGACGGCTTATGAATTTATTTATAAATATTATTATATTATTATCTACAAATCTTTACTCGCAAATTGCAAGTAATTTATAACTAGTTTGAACTGTTAATATTTAAAAAATAATTTATAAATTTTGAATGAATATTTATAAATAATAATATTTAAATTATTAAATATTAAAATACTTAATATTTTAATAATATTTATTAAATTTTATTTTAACAATATTTAAGGGTTTAAGGTCAAATTAGTACCAAAACCTGTCACTGCGTGTGGACCCTTCAAACCCAGTACATCAGCATAAAATGGAACGGGTGACCCATAAATTATCTCACTTTTTAATATAAGATGTCCAATGTTTTTAAAAAAATGTTTAGAAATAAAAATGAACCCTAAACCTATATATTAAGATAAATAAGAGTGAAATCATTATTGTAATGAGGAGCAAAATAGAGAAAGTAATAGAACATAAGGTTAACCCAAATGTATACTTAGTTTCATGTAAAAAAACCATTAGAAACTTTTTTGCAATGATTTTTAACATGAACCATACATTCTTATCAATAAAATCTCCCCAAACTTTAGACAGTTGCATATAATCTTTTTCATCATTCAATATTTAAAATTAACTCTCTTAACCTTTTATTTTATTTTTCAAAACCCCTATCATTAATCAACTATTATTTTATTAATATAGATTTTGTCATGTCATATTAATGCAATACACATGACACATGGCATGAAAAAAATATTTTTATTATTTTTTAACACAATTTAAGGAGGGGTAAAATTATAATTTTTATTTTTAACACACATGATGGTGCTTTCATTTTTTATTTAAGCAATATTGTTCTCATTGTTCATGGGTAATACAATTTAAGAGAAAAATTATAATTTTATTATTTTTTATTAATTAAAATAGCCTTTTATATTAAACAAATGAAAAGAAAATATCTAAAAGCTATCATTGATAAGAATCATATAAATATCCCTTAATATAAAAAAACTATGATATTTTTCAAGTTGTTTTTAACAAAATATATACAAATTACCAATAGAAAAAAAATCTTATTCTAAAGCAAAACTTACTTTTTGTTTGAATAAGTATTGAAAACTTCATTCAAATGAAGAAAATAACAGTTACAAACAAATGAGAGTTTGAAAAAAATAAACGAGGCAGGTAATGAAGTTAATATGATTTTGTTATTAATGATAGCTTTTTAGATATTTTTCTTTTTATTTTTAATATAAAAGGCTATTTTAATTGATAAGATTAATAAAATTATAATTTTTTTTCTTAAATTGCATTACCCATGAATAATGAGAACAATATCACTAAATTAAAAAAATGAAAGAATTATCATGTGTGTTAAAATGAAAATTACAATTTTACCCTTCCTTAAATTGTATTTAAAAATAATAAAAGTATTTTTTTTTCATGATATGTGCCATGTGTATTGTATTAATATAACATGACAATAACTATACTAATTAAATAACAGTTAATTAATGGTAGGAGTTTTGAAGAAAAAAATGAAATGTTAGGATGGTTAATTTTAAACATTGAAAAATGAGGAGAATTATATGCAATTATTTTAAAATTCAAGAAAATTTTTATATATTTTAGCCAAATTTTAAAAAATTGGTCCCCCTAAAGAGAGGGATAGATTGGGCTCACCACTCTTTACATCTCCAACTAATAAATTCAAGGTTTAGTTAATAATCAGCAACATGTCAATATACATTTAAGTAATTAGGCCTTATGCAATAGGGGCATTGTACAATAAACTGAGGGATAGGGAGAGTAGCAAACCATTTGATTTACTGCTATACCATTGTTTAGTATACGAAAAAAAATATTTTTTTAAAAAAAGAAAATATAAAATGTATTTAAAATAATTGTAATAGGTACATTATATTTACTACTTTGCATTGTAAAGATTTAGTCAAATTAAGAACCATGTTACGGCCTACATTTAAAGAATTAGATCTTCAGCAATACTGAAACTGTGCAATAAAAGGAGTGGTAGAGTAATAGAGGCATTAGGTTAATCTTATTAGCATGTCAATAGAAAATATAAATTTTGTTAGATCTTGGTTAACCTAAGAAGGATGATGATATAAATTTAAGAAACCCAATCTTTTTTTTTTTTAGTAGAAAGGGCCACGGTTAATATACCATGTAATTACAAACCCATTACCAGGAATCCAATCATAAAAGGTTTCTACACTTAGATGAGGGAATATTAAGAATCTTAATAATGAAATCGCTATGAGCTATTTGATGAGCAAGTAAATTAACACATTAATTCACTTATATCAAAACATAATAAATGGGAACCTGCCAATCTCATGTACGTAGACCTTTTTCTTTTCATAATAAAAGAATATTTACAAGGAAAAAACATCAAACTAAAGTTGTAACAAAGAATGGAAAGTTAGATAATTCAACAATGATCATAATTAGTGTTGCATCTCATGACATATGTCGTTTTGAATAACTTTAAAAGAGAGAAGATATATTTAATAACTGCAAAAGATTATGTTTCTCTTTAATATTATTCAATGTAACATCTAATGACACATGCTGTTTTAAACAACTTTAAGAAAGAGAAGATTTTTTTAGTAACTACAAAAGATTAGATTTCTCATTTTAATAATATCCACTATGTAGCATCTATTCATCTAATAACATGTGCTGCCTCAAACAACTTCAAGAGAGAGAAGATATATCCTTAATAACTGTAAAAGATTGGATTTCTTTCTTTAATATTATCCACAATATAGCATCTAATTATGGCAAGTGCCATCTTGAGCAACTTCAAGAGAGAGAAGATATCTTTGGTTGTGTTATTTATAGTGTAACATCTTATAACACATATTGTCTAGAACAACTTAAATAGATAGAAGATATTTTAATAACGGCAAAAGATTAAATTTCTCTCTTCAATATTATCAACATGATTAGGAGTCTACTTACAATGTCTAAAGAAATTACAATTGAAGACTTTGCAAGAAAGAGAAGAATAAAGAAGATGGCGGGGCCTACTGGTTAACTTTAGCACATAAAAGGAATTATATTCTGTAGACAAACTTTTTTAAAAACAAATTTAGTCAAACCAGCAACATGTCACTGTAACATTAAGGAATCTAAGCTTCTGCAACGATGGAACCTTGAAGTGAGGACAAAAATAAAGAGAATTAATGGGGCATTTAGTCAACGTGAGTAGCATGTCTAAAGAAATTTAAAGAATTAGATCATTTGCAACTGTAAAATTATGCATTAAGAATGGGGATAGAGAATGTGATATTTAAGCCTATTGCTCGCTATATTTTACTTGAGGGACTTATTTATAAATAAAGCCTTACAAATTTGTGAAATATTTGAAGTCTTTGGAATTTAATTGTAGATAATTTTTATTAGAGTGACACATGTCCCTTGAAGTTTGACCCATAACTTTTCGTTAATGATGATTGGTACTGGCCGGTGGCCATTGATTCATGATGGGTAATTGTTGATCGGTCAACAAACTATCAAAGAGAATAATTAATTTTTTTAAAAAATTTAAATTAAATATGAATACCTTCATATGTATAAGTTACTCTTCTAGATTTAAATGTAAAGTTAAACTTAGACTTGAGTATTCTCTATCCCTGTCAACTTCTAAATTGAAGAGGTTGACTTGTAATTTAATAGGTAAAATTTTAATAACCAATGCAAAAATTATGTAAATTTAGTTGTAAATAAAAGAAATTGACTTGTAAATCTGTAATTACATATTTAAGTACAAATTAACCTCTTAGAAATACAAAGCCTTATCTAAGATTACGTAAAATCTAAGATGTTGAAGTCAATCTAATTCATATACAAATCAATTTTTAAGATTTATAAGTGAATTTGCATCATTCTAACATTGGTTAATAAAGTTTTACATATAGAATTACAAGTCAGTCTCTTACATTTACAAAATTACAAGCTCTTCTCTAAAATTAAAGATGCAAACTTTGAAATTTACAAGTTAGCAAAGAGGACAAAGAATACCTGAGTATATTTATAAATACTTTTTTTTTGAGCAAAATATTTATAAATACTTGTAAATTTGAGGTTTGCTTGTATATCTAGGATACTGACATGTAAATATGAATATATTAATATCTAATATCAAATTTTTTAATGTTAAATGTTCAGATTATAGGGATTTAAATATAAGTTTTAACTAAATCTCCCATTTAGATATATATAAAAAATTCATGGATTTAACTTTGATTCATATCCAAATTTATTCTTTATAATTTAAAATTTTTCCTGAATCCTAAATATTTTAAAATTCAATTCTCCTATCTTCGTGTTTTTTTAACTATTGGACCTTTGTCACTCTTGTCTTTTCATTCATCTCTTGCTCTCGTGACTAGTCTTTCGTCAATTGAAATTAATAGCTAGTTACTTTCAATATCCCTTTGACTTTTTCTTTCAAAAGTTTTTTTATATTATCTAAACAAATGATTTGAAATTTGAAATATAAAATTTTCAAATCTGAAATCCAGACACTACCTAAAATAATCCCTTGGTGGGCCCAACATAAGTGCTGGGTAAAAGGAATTTGAAATAATTTTCACAAATTTATGAATCTATTAAAAATTAATTTGCTTATTAGAAATATGTAAATTTTCCTTTTGATATATTTACTTGTTTTTTTAAAAGGATATATCTACATGAAATTTGTATCCTTTTTAATCAATTTTTTCTTGATTTAATTAAATTTGTTATGTGTGTGTATTTATAATCTCAAATTGTTAGTTTGCCCTTCTATTTCTGGCCAAAAAAAAAAAAAAAACGCTTGCACTTCTAATTCAAATATGTATAATCTCTTTCTAAGAGTTTTTACATGACCTAATAGAGTTTTAAATAATCAATGTTCATGCAAATATTTCAACTGAACAAAAGTCAGCTTAGAACATCAATATCATCCTATGGTTTAAAATCCAGACCGGATAGCATACTAGAAATGTCAGCAAGTCATGGATTTTATGGTTCAACCGATTGGATCAGTAGGTGAATCAATAACCTAATAATTAAATAAAAAAAATATTTATATGTTTGTGTGTGTGTGTGTAAAAAATAAAATAGAACAATACAACATCACAAGTCATTAATACAACAAAAAACACACAATATAAATCAAAAGTAGACAAAAACAGAAAGTTAATCAAAGCAAAGAATATAACAAGTAATGAAACAAGGAGAAATAAACTATTTTTATATACCAAAGGAAAAACCTTTCATGATGCAGCCTCAATTTTTATACACAAAAGGAAAATGATTACCTTTATGGCAGCATCCTTGTAAGAAAGATCTTTGTCTTCGTAAATCAGGACACCAAATAGATAGAGAGTATATCCTTTGACCCTATTTATAAAGCAAATTTATAGGGCAAATAAAAGAGAAAAAATATAACCCTATTTATAAGACACTTATCAATTTTAATATTCTTTATGTGTATACCCTTATTAAATGCTTTAAATAAAAATACTAATAATTAAATTTAATAACATTTATTAGGAAAAAGTGAAAATTTATTAAATTTTAAAATAAATTTAATAAATTTTAAAATTTTTCTTAATTTTCATAAAACATGTTAAAAATAATTTATAAATAGAATAAAAAAAAAGCATTTTCTTTTTGACCTCCCCTTAACTGCACAAAACCAAACAAGTGCTTGTATGAAGAAAAGCCACGAAAAATGTAGAGCGTTGATGCTGAGAACGAAGAAGACATCATCGTCCGACTCCATTCCACGTACGAGTGAGAAGTGGGAGCGCTTAACCGAGTGAGAAAGCAGTGAGAAGTGAATGTGACAAAGTCTAATGCCAATTTTACCCCTTCTTTGACCCACAAACCCGTTTCAGGTTCTGTTTTTTATTTTTTAAGGTCTTTAAAAAACGCCCGGTTTGAGGCAAGCCATCCCAAGTCAATTACTAAAACATGCCAAATGATTGAACAAGGTCATTTTTTTTCAACAGGCGATGGTCCAATCAGTCTGACCATCTAAGTCAGTCTAGGTCTTAAAACCTTGATATCATCAACAATTCAAGCTTGATATGAATATGAAAAATTAGTGCGAGCACAATAAGCACGGAAACATTCATAATTTAATTATGAAAATGAGGATTAACTCTAGCATTCACGCGAGAGGCCAATTGAATTCAAATAGATTGTCATTCTGATCATCACTGATAGATGAAAAATTGTCCAAGTTTCACCATGATTCCTTAGCATGACGATCCGAAAACTTTCAGCCAACTGCTTATAAATCAACATCTGCATCTGTCTCTCCATCTATCATACCAGCCTCTACCTCGCCCTCAGCATCTGCTTCCAATTGCCCTGCTTCCTGACCGACGTCGGTGTCGGAGCTCTGCTTCTGGAGTTCATCTGGTGTCAGTGTTCCGCCTTGAGAAGCTGGGACAGCGACAGCATCAAACTCCATCGGAGCTGCCGATGCATCAGCTCTTGTACCTTCTCCATCAGCCTCAGCAGCAGGCGCAGCAATCTATTCCAAAAGGCAAAACTGACATTGAGGAACCCAAGTAACTAGGGGGAATTCATTCAGACATTGAACTCTGTTACTCTCATATGCTAAATAAAACAACAAAAATAAAACCTTGCTCCTTACTTTGGAAGAGAGGGAGAGAGACAACAAAGGGAGAAAAGCAGAACAAGGTACATGCAGATCACAGAAAACACAGAACAGCACAAAACAAAATACTTCTCCGATTCTATTTATAAGACATTGAGAGAATTTTTTTAATCTTATTTATAAGTTGTATCATTAAATTTTTATCAAAAATTTCCTCCTTAACCCACATTATATGCTGGTGAGAGAAAGTATAAATATTTTACTAAGGATAAAGTTGGAGAATTGTTAAATTTAAGACAGTAAGTTTTAAGGTCTTCCTTAGTTTAAATAAAATATGTTAGAAATGACTTATAAATAAGACCGTAAAAAATAGCAAACAAAAGGTAGTAGGACCAAGAAAGTCTGGGTTGAGGCTGATTTCAAAGTCCCAGAGTGTGGGATGTGAATCACAAGGTCATTCATCCTTTCTAAGTAAAAGGCTGGACAGACTCTTTGACTTGAGAAAGGAGCGATAGGCAACATTTGGTGCACCGAATTGAATGAAATGAAAAATAAAAGAAAAACGGGATTGAGGATAAAAAATAACTCTTGTGCTTCAGCAACTAAAAAGATGATACAAGAGATGGAAACTATTCAGTAATGCTTGCAAAAACATATTGAGCATTGCAAAATGTTGAAGTAAAGAGAATCAAATTCTTTTGCTTTAACAATCAATGCCTCGACAATTACAGTGAGGGTAACGAGGTTGCGAATTGGAATCAAGCTCCTCCCCCGAGGAAGCTTTGTTTGATCTACATCGCACCCTCCTTGGTGTGGCCAGCTGGTTCTTGTGCTATTGAAAGGACAAATGCCCATACCTTATTTCTACAATTACCGTTGCTTAGTTTCAGGTCTTGTGACCCTCTCAGTCTGCCAAAAATTATCAATTATTTAACTTGTCAATATGGAAAACCAATTTCCCAACCTATTTTTTTTCCCCCTATAACAAGGGGAATATCAATTGTTCACGAAGACACTCCATGCTAAAGGTCAAGAAGATGGAACCATGGATTGTCCCGAAACTGAGTTTTGAAATCATCTGATAAAGCCTTTTGAAGAAAATTCACCCAGTTAAACAAACAGATGAGGACATAAAAGCAAGTATAGAGGATCTAAGGAAAGGCCTTTTCTTTCACATTTATAACTAACGGTTTAAGCTGGCTCTACTCTGCTTCCCCAACAGAATCTCCCTAGCTCTGTTGCAATTTGTTTCCAATTGAATTTCATATCTGAAACTCCGCCTATGTTTATAGCCGGTCCCAAGCCCGGGTAAAGGAGGAGGGTTGTGTTAGGCCATCAACAGCCAATGTAAAAATTTGTTGAATCTATCATGAACATGGACAATAGATGTTATAATGTTAATGCTAGGTCGTTGCCCGTAAGTAATGCGCTGCATGGCTCGAGTACAGTGATAAGTGAGTTAGAGCCGCTGAATCGGCGCCCGGATGTAGTGTTAAATGAGCAAGGGCTACTGCGTCATTCTGGACGCACGCGGCTAAAGAAGTTAGTCCATAAGAGCAAAATTAGATTTGGTACTTGGAATGTTGGGACATTAAATTGTAAATCTATATAGGTTGTAGGGGTTATGATTCAAAGGAAAATCAATATCCTTTGCTTGCAAGAAACAAAATGGCGTGGAGAAGAAGCTAAGGATATTCAAGGTTTCAAACTTTGGTATACAGGAAAAGTAAGTGCACGCAATGGAGTAGGCATCATTATAGATAAGGAGTGGAAGAAGAACGTTATAGAAGTTAGCAGAATTGGAGACAGAATTATTTCTTTAAAAATGATAATTGGACGTGAGATTGTTAATATTGTTAGCGCTTATATGCCGCAAGTCGGGACAGAAGCCAGTCTTAAGGAATTATTTTGGGAGGATCTGAAGGTGTTGATTCGACACATACCACAGAGCGAAAAGATTTTTATTGGAGGAGACTTTAATGGGCATGTCGGGAGGGAAGCTGGTCAGTATGTGAGGGTGCATAGTGGTTTTGGTTTTGGAGAGCTAAACAATGAAGGACAAACTCTTCTTGATCTCTCATTGGCGTATGATTTTAAGATTGCCAACACTTGTTTCAAGAAGAGAGATGAGCATCTCATCACTTACAAAAGTGGAGCCTCAAGGTCACAGATTGATTTTCTTTTGGTTAGGAACACAGATAGAAAACTTTGTAAAAATTGTAAGGTGATCCCCGGAGATGCTGTAACGACACAACATAGGATCCTAGTCCTTGATGTGTGTATTATGAGTAAAATCCAAAAACGTCGACAAGTAATAACACCAAGGATTAGGTGGTGGCAATTAAAAGGTGAGAAGCAAGATATTTTCAAGCGAAATCTTTTGAATAAAGGAATTTGGGATTCTCAGGGAAGTGCTAACATCATATGGGAGGATATGGCGAAAAAGATACGGGAGGTTGCAAAAGTAGTTTTGGGAGAATCGAAAGGTTCTGGTCCGAGAGATAAGGAGTCTTGGTGGTGGAATAATAATGTACAGGACAAAATCAAGTATAAGAAGAACTGTTTTAAAGCCATACATTTGTGTAACAATGAGGAAAATTGGGAGAGGTACCGTATGGCTAAGAAGGAAACTAAGAGAGCTGTGGGTGAAGCTTTCTAAAGCTTTTGAAGAATTTTATAAGAACCTTGAGACGAAGGAAGGAGAGCAAAATATTTATAAGATTGCCAAGAGTAGGGAAAGAAAATCAAGAGATCTATAACAGGTAAGGTGTATTAAGGATGAAGAGGGAAGAATTTTAGTTACAGATGATGAAATTAAAAATAGATGGGAGACTTATTTTTCTAAACTTTTCAATGATGGAGAGGATTTATCTAGTAACTTAGAGGATTTAATAACTGGTAAAGGAGAACAAAATTTGTCATTCTATCGAATAATACGTGATAAGGAGGTAAAGGAAGCTCTTAAGAAAATGACAAATGGTAGAGCCAACGGACCTGATTGTATATCTATCGAAGCATGAAAATGTTTAGGTGAAGAAAGGGTGAAATGGTTAACTAAGTTATTTAATGTGATTTTACGGTCCAAGAAAATGCCTGATGAGTAGAGGAGAAGTACATTAATTCCTATTTATAAAATAAAGGAGATATTCAGAATTGTACTAACTATAGAGGGATTAAACTCATGAGCCACACAATGAAATTGTGGGAGAAAGTAATTGAGCACAGGTTGAGATTGGAGACGAGTATTTTGAGAATCAATTTGGTTTTATGCCAAGTAGATCAACTACAGAGGCGATTTATCTACTAAGGGGATTAATGGAAAAGTATCGTTGTAAAGATAAAGATCTACACATGGTTTTTATTAATTTGGAAAAAGCTTATGACCGTATACCAAGAGAAGTGCTTTGGAAAGCGTTGGAAAAAAAGGAGTATGGATTGCTTATATTAAAGCCATACAAGATATGTATGAGGGGGTAAAAACTAGTATAAGAACGCCTAGTGGTCAAACAAAAGATTTTCCTATAAAGATTGGACTACATCAGGGATCATCTCTGAGTCCTTATTTGTTCAACTTAATTTTAAATATTTTGACGGAACATATTCAAGAGGAAATCCTGAAATGTATGCTCTTCGCGGATGATATAGTTCTTATAGCAGAGACAAGAGAAGAGGTTAATTGCAAACTTGAGTTATGGAGGAGGACATTGGAGTCAAAGGTTTTCGTCTGAGTAGAAGACGGAATATTTATATTGTAAATTTGGTAAAGGACTATTCGAAAATAATTTGGAAGTGAAATTGAGAGATCAAATTATACCTCAAGTGGAAAAGTTTAGATATTTGGGAGCCATTATTCAAAATGATGGCGAAATCAGTGGAGATATTTCACATAGAATTCAAACTGGGTGGTTTAATTGGAGAAAAGCTAAAGGAGTTATTTGTGACCGTAAGGTGCCTAATAAACTTAAAGGAAAGTTTTATCGCACTGCTATCAGACCGGCAATGTTATATAGTAGTGAATGTTGGGCTCTAACGGGACAGCAAGAACATAAAGTTGGAGTAGCAGAGATGAGAATGTTACGATGGATGTGCGGACATACACGTAAAGATAAAATTCGAAATGAGCACATACGCGAAAAAGTGAGGGTGGCACCTATTGAGGAAAAAATGGTAGAAAATCGGTTGAGATGGTTTGGACATGTACAAAGAAGACCAAGGGAGGCACCAGTGAAAAGAGTGGAACATATAACTTTGAGTCCGATTAAGAGAAGTAGAGGAAAGCCTAAGAGAACACTCTTGAAAGTTGTTGAACGCGATCTCTTAATTAATAATATTCCTAAAAGCTTGATAAATGATAGAGCACAATGGCGTCTTGCAATCCATGTAGCCGACCCCACCTAGTGGGATAAAGGCTTGTTGTTATTGTTGTTGTTGTTGTTGTTGAATTTCATATCTGAACCTTAGACAATGTTCATGAAATTACTGGAGTAGAACGTAGTTCAAACATTATATAAAATCTAGCATCATTGATTGGAGAGCCTAGTTCTCAAGGCTGTTTGCTAGTGCATGCTCTTGATATTTTCTTACTCCCAATTCATTAATGCAATTGTTTTTCATAGGTGTCAAAAGTCAACATTCAGAAGATATTTAGGCAACAATATCAAATTGAAGGGTTAGCGCCGTCTCCATATAATCCTTGAATTAGACACGCAAATGTTTGGGACTATCTAAAAGTTCTGCCAACAATTTGAGGCAAGAGGGATGATATGATATAAACAGGAGCAACCAACCAGCAAATCAGAACTACTACTTCCTTCATTATCCACTGAAAAAGATAATGTATTTTCAATTGGTCTGACGTGCAAGACTAAAAATATGTTTCAAAACAAAATTGGTAAGCTAGATGTGGATTAAGAAACCTGATTTCCCTCAACATGATGAACAGTGCCTTTTGTTTCTTCCTTTTTTGCCCGTTTTGCCCTGTCATTTGGTTTAGCTTGATATTTAGATCGAACGTCAGGTGGCAAAAGTTCCAGCGGTACAACCCCTTCAATGCCATGGTCTGTAAACTGCAACCAAAATCAACCAAGTTCATTGAACCTAAAAAATTTAGGTAGATTAAGACATCAGTGGTTAAGGAATTTATCTTACCCTAGAAAATCCCTCCAAGTCTTGTCGAGCTGAAAAACGAAGACCTTTCCAACAATAAACCTGCATTTAACAGAACAAAAAATATACTTAACATGCTTATTAGTGCATGATAATTTAAGCAGACCATTTTAAAATTCAAAACCTATTTCATCATATATAGCTGTTCTGATTTAATGCCATATACATAACTCCGCATAACAATTAAAATGATAAAATCATGATAGCAAACCCACAAATGAAAGAACTCAGCCACAAAAACACACCAAATGAGTTCTATGAACTTTTGAAAAGGCATTCCTATTTCAAGAGATATAGAATTCAGAAATCTAGGCGTAAGAAATTAACAACTAAACCAGTAAAATGAATTTTTTTTTTTTTTGGCTGGTTGACCTGAAGGGTTTTAGCTGCTTTACTACTGATCACATGGAAGAATAATATGATTTCAACATTAAGAAAAAACTGTCTTTTTGGGGCCATTGGAGGCAGCATAATGGAGTATAGCTTATCAGCCTTCCATAAAACTTTATCCACTGTTTCCTGCTGCAGATAAAATATGAACTTAGGATGTCCAAACTAAATCAGAGGCACCCTAGCTCAAGCTTGATAATTGCAGATGATGCAACTATCACAAGCAATAAGCTAGTTGGTGGGCTTGGTAGAACGCCACATCTCACTATCTCAGTCAGTCACGCACATTCAAGTATTAAGCAAAACTACTCAGTTTGGAATGGCAGAAACATGTGTACAATCTTACACTGTTCTATGGTGGTAGTCACAGAAAGAGAGAGAGAGAAGAACAGAGATAAGACTGAGGTATGAAAACTGAGATTTTCATTCAGATTAGGCATAAGCCCTGAATTTACACATATCCCTTTTAAAGGCTACTGATCATCCTAAGATATACTGATCACTAACTAACCTATAAATTTATTTACAAATTAAACATCATACACAACCTTGTGTTGTGAAAAGCCACCTATATTCCGCATATATTGCTAGCGTGTTGGTAAGTTCCATCCAGTATCTATCAAAAAGTTCTTTCACTTTAATTATTTATATGGTTTTTATTAGGATAAAATAACTATTTAGTAGAGGATATAAAAAGTACAATTAAGAGGGAATATCCACCCACAAAAAATTAACAGAAAACATGAAAATTTATCACATTAAACATTAATTAGAAAAATCACCTGAATAAAAGCCTACATTAGAACTTCCATTGAACGGATAACAGTAGGGCGCTCTCTCTCACAATGAAGAGCATGAACTCAAAATAGTCCTTAAAGATCCTACCATTGAGCTAGCATTCCAAGGACTCAATTAAAACAACACTAAGCATTTCCACAGGTCCCTAATAACACCAACAGAATCATAATACATGATATTCCAAGATCAGCTTGCCAAAGAATGCCAATCAGCAAACACTGTATATTCCAAGCAATTAGGGAATCACAAAGCACATTATTTAGAATCTATATATTGTATGCCAATTATGGAAAAAAAATGCTACTGGTGTAAAATAACCAACTTGATCAAGAAACTTTTACAAAAACTATGCCTTGCCGTTAAGTTATCTAGCGGACATCCATAAAAATAACCCAAGATTTAAAAAATAAGAGTAAATTACAACTAATTTTCTTACTTTTGCTGAAATTATACAAAATTCCCACATATTCCAAAGTATAAATTGTTCTCCCTGAAATCAAAAGTCACATAACACTTTAACATTAGTCCTTTTTTTACACTACAATATACTACATAACCACTTCTACATATTTTCCTGTGGAGGGTGTTTATAACAAGAATAAAACAGGAATTGAATTGTATTTTAAAATAGAAGGGAGGTTTGTATGTTTCCAATAAAAACTCAAGGAAAATCTGAGTAATTTTAACTACCCCCACAAAAAAAAAATATCAGGACATGGATGTCAAATCTGATACTGTTTAAAATTACTATATGAAATCTTAACAGGGACGAACCCGGTTATTCTTGCGGTGATATTCAGCTTCTATACCCGCTGATGGATCCATCTGAAATTTTAAAAAAGCAAAGGATTCAAGACTGATAGTTCAAATACAAAAGAAAAAAAAAATAATCCTGATATGAAGAGGAAAAATTGCCATACCAATTCCTAGCTGTTAAGGAAAAGGGAAAAATCTGGATTGAAAACTCAATGCACACAATGAAGCTCCATGAGAAGATAAGCAGCTTACTCTTCAGCCAAAGGTTTCAGCAGTATTCCATAATTGAAGGAGTTCTAACACGCTGAGGATCAGTTAAAGCATTCTGACCCATTCAGAAATAATGTAGTAGTAATCAGTTGAATAGGCAGCAGTGCGTCCATGATATGACCAAAATAAGGAATTAATCCATCAAAGAAACAACTTTCCCATCAATCGGACAA